ACACAACAAAACCACACACACTACCACACCACCCACACCACCACACACCCACACACCACACCACACACAGGCACAACACACACAACACCACACACACCACACACCCACACACCACACACACACACCACACACCACACACACACACACACACAACACACACACACACACACCACAACACACACAACAACACACACACACCACATTCACAACACACACACACGCACAACCACACACACACAACACCACACAACTACACACACAACAACACAACACACACCACAACACACACCACACAACAACAACACACACACAACACAAACACAACACCACACACAACCAACCACACAACACACACACAACACACACACAACACACACACAACACACACACAACACACACACACAACACACACACAACACACACACACAACACACACACAATACACACACACAACACACACCACACACCACACACCACACACCACACACCACACACCACACACCACACACCACACACACACACACACACACGCACACACACGCACACACACACACACACACGCGCGCACACAAACGCACGCACACGCACGCACACACACACACACACACACTTGTTCCGTCGGCGGCCGTCTGGGCAGAGGTTAGTGCTCCGTCGATGTGGCAGGAGAACACACACACACACACACACACACGCGCGCGCACACACACGCACACACACATATAGAGAGAGAGAGAAAGAGAGATAGAGAGAGGCAGATACAGACAGATACATGGGATCTGGCTCTTTCAAGAAGCCCGATTTTCCCAAACAAGTCCACTTTATTGGAGGGCAGATTCTTAGTTCTCCCAGTTTCCGCTGGCGCAGCCGCCCCCGCTTTGCTTCCGCCGGCTTCCGCCGGCTTCCGCCGAAGAACAGGTCTCAAGTTCTCGATCCTTCGAACGCGAGGCCCTGCAAATCAAACTATATCTCTGCATATATGTATGTATGTATACATATATATATATGTACCTATATATGTGTAGATGTATGCCTACACATACATATACATATATATGTGCATTGTGAAAAAAAGAAAGGGAGAGGAAAAAAGAGGAAGAGCACGATAATGATGAATAACGAAGAAGGACGTTGCAGAGGAGAGGAATCAACGCGCTTGCTGAAGAGAGCGCCCGCGCGCGCGTATGGACTGGCCGCCTCGGGCCGGTGCCAGGACCGTGCCTGGGCATCTGCTGCCATGATCTATACCTATAACTGTAGTGCGTGCCGGCGGCGGCCATCCTTCCAGAGCGCAGCCCAACGAATGAGCAATCCTAGTACAAGAAATGTCCCCCCCCACGTCAACAGCTTTGATGAATGACTGGCCCCGACCTCCAATTCTGCATGTCACCACAGCCAGGTTGCGACACGGCGTGAAACGGAGCAGCGAATGGCGGCCGTCAACACGCACGCGCCCGCGTGCACAGCCTTCAAACAAGCCTTGACATAAAGCGGCATGACAAATAATATTGAATGAAAGGAAAGTCCGCCGCCCCTCAAGAGGACTGTCCCGCCACAGCAACAATAGTTCATATCCCTGCCGACCTCGCTGGCGGTGTGAAACCAAGCGCGCGGTCACTCCAATGTGAACAACAGGCGCGGGCTGAAAGCTGCCACGGATTCGGTGCGCCGGGGGCCTGGCAAATGTCGCATGGACCTGGTGCGCCGGAGGCCCGACAAGCGTCGCGGAGACGGTGCGCCAGAGGCCAGCAAGAAGAGGAGGAACGAAGGGCGATACAGAGAGACAGTGCGAGGGACCGGAGCAGGCCGAAGCTGAAAACCCGAGTCGCAGCTTTTGCTCTGGGGCGCGTGCGCTCGCCAAGTGAAAGCGCACCAGCAGATGCGCCGCATGCGGGGCGGAGGAGCAGGTGGCGAGGGGCAGCGCCAAGGGGGGATAGGCATAGGGGGGGATACATCGACCTGGAATCGGCGATACATTGTCGATAGATCGGCGATAGGCCCCCGATCGTGAATCCGCACCTTCCTGGGTGGGGTAGGGCTATCGGGTCCCTATCGGCGATCAATCGGCGATTGTGGGTCGACGCATCCCCCCCTGTGCCCATCCCCCCCCCGATCGTTGCCCCCGCAGGTGGCCGAGGGGCGCAGGCCCGCGAGCCGCGCCCGGGGCCACCCGCCTGCAGCCTGCGAGCGGCCACGCGCACGGCGCGCGCCCACGCGGTGGTCCTCAGCCCCGCGCGCTCCGGGGAGGAGCAGAGCAGAGCAGAGCGCCGACTGTCGGCCCACAAGGGGGGACGGCCCACGAGGGGCGCGGCGGGGGCGCCTCAGCGCCTTAGTCCTTGAGGTCGGGGAGGAGAGTGGGGGGAAGTACCGATAATTACGGTGAGGGCACTGGATAAGGAACCAGTGGATGCGGAATCCAGGGTCTCGAAGCCAGTGGGAAGCCAATCGTGGATCATCCATATGGATATCACCGCCGCCCTTACCAGACAAGGAAACCCTCAGGGTCTGAAGCCTCCTGGGCACCTTCCTTAACTAACGCCCCCACCGTACCGCTACTCCCCGGCTCCTGGGGGGCGTTGTGACCAGAATTTCGTGGCGAATGCAGCGGCGGCGACGGGGGCCTCCCAGGAGGCCCCAAAAAATGGAAAGTGGGCGAAGGGTAGAGGTACGGGCAGCTTTTTCTCCCCTGAGAGAGGGACAAAAGCGAGCGAGGGAGGGAAGATAAGAGAGGAGGCAGCAGCAACAAGAACCTCTTCCGGCGCGCCCTCGAACTCTCTTGCGTGCTTATCCCAGGCGCGTGGCCGATACCAGGGGCGCCTGGCTCACCAACCAGCCTTGTCGGCACGCTGCTCGGCGCTGCGCTGCTCGCCATCCCGGTCGTGCGTGCCTTTGTTGTGCATTTTCACAAAAAAAGAAGCGAACAGGAACCGATCAGAATAAACCCTCCGGAACATCGCAAGACCACTCAGACGCAGAAGCCATGCCCCCAAGGACACATCGAGAGCCCCACCCGTCCTGGGGCTGCACTGGCGGCTGCGACTGCAGGTGCTGGGTAGGACTGCAGCGTGCCGCTGGTACTGCGAACGAGCGGAGGTCCGCGTCGAGGGCTCAGAACTCCCTCCTGCAGTCGGCGTCGTACTTCCGGCGCCCGTTGGGCTGCTCAGTGTCGCGCTGCTGAGATCCAACGTGCTGCGCTTGCCGCTGCTCCCACTGTGCTACGAGATGTCATGCGCCTCGTCGCCGTCGCCCTGATCACAGTCGCGCAGCTCGCCGCACTGCACGACCAACTCCTGGGAGGCTGCTCCGCATTAGGCTGCCAGTGGTCGTGCGGCTCGTCGCCGTCGTACAGCTCATGGCCGCGCTGCTCGTCACTCTGACGTCCAATTCACGGTGCTCGACTCCGTCATGGTGGACAACTTGGTGGTAGCTCTCGATTCCACTGTGTTGGATACCGATGTGTTGCTTACCTCCGTCGTGGTGGACAACGTTTCAGCGTGCGTCTCCGCAGTGCTGGACAGCGACGCGGTGCTCGCCTCCATCGTGGTGGGTACCGCGGTGGCGTTCGACCCCGTGGTGCTGGAGACCGACGTGGTGCTCGACTCCCTCGTGGTGGCATGGTGGTGCCCGATGCCGGTGGACGGGACAGCGACGTGCTACTCGACTCCATCAAGGTCAGGATGCCGTGGCAGCGCGCCGCGGTAGCTCCAGCGGCGTGGCAGCTACGTCGTGCTGGGCGCCGTGGCAGTGCGAGGCATGGGGCGTGGGCAGTCCCACGGCCAAAGGGCGGGCACGCACGGCAGAGGACGACGACGAAGACGACGACGACGACGACGACGACGACGACGACGACGACGACGACGACGACGACGACGACGTAGGCGGCGCGCCTCGCGGGGGGAGCACATTCAAGGCTTGGCCGCACTCGGAACATGGCCGGCATCTAGAAGTACACATGCAACCGGCTAACGCGGACAAGAGTGAGGGGGCGCGAAGGGAAGGGGGTGCACGTGCTTGCGCTCTCCAGATCGCCAGCAAGGCGCAATTCTGATTCAGGCGGGCACCCAGGGACAATGTAAGACCGCTCCGCCCTCCGAGTCTGAACTGCTGAGACCTCTCGTTCTCAGTTTGATACTCTTCTCTTCCTCCTCCTCCTCCTCCTCCTCCTCCTCCTCCTCCTCCTCTCCTCCTCCTCCTCCTCCCTCCCCCCTCCTCCTCCTTCTCCTCCTCCTCCTCCTCCTCCTCGTCCTCCTCCTCCTTCTCCTCCTCCTCCTCCTCCTCCTCCTCCTACTCCAAAGCCCACCAGCCCTTTAGGGAGCTAGTGGTTCAGCGACTTTCCTCTTCCATCTTCCCTCTTTTCCTTCGGGGAGCGGCTTACCCCTTCCCCCCCTCCTATCCCAGGACCTGGACGGGGGGGGGGGGGGCCGCGGGTCGTTAGCGCGTCCAGAAAGGCCTTGGCGAGAAGGCACAAATCAGTGATTTGATTTAGGCTCTGGTAAGTTTTGGCCTCCTGGAAGGGGGGGGGCACAAGTAAAGATCCCACCTTCTTTGGCCGAACTCGGCCCCAAGAGGGCTCCGAGAAGGCCCCAAGAGTGCTCCAAGAGGCGTCCAGGGTGCCGGCCTCAGGAGGGCGTCTTGGAGGGCCTCTCTGGCGCCTTCTTGGAGCCCGTGGGCCGTCTTGGGAGGGGCGTCGGGCTCTCCAGCGGCGCTCGTGGCCCGTCTGACACCCTGGGGAGCCATTTGGGGCCGCTCTGGGGCGTCTGGGGGCTCTCTGGTGATAGGCCTGTTTTCCACCGCCACCACCAGCAGTTGGAGGGGGAAGGAGGAGGAGGAGGAGGAGGAGGAGGAGGAGGAGGAGGAGAAGGTGGAGGAGGAGGAGGAGGAAGAGGAGGACGAGGAGGAGGAGGAGGAGGAGGAGGAGGAGGAAGAGGACCCCCTCCCCCCTCCATCTCATGGTGGTGGTGGTGGAAAACAGGCACATCATCTGGGGGCCCTCTTCCAAAGCATCTTCTGTTTTTCATCAAGAGCGCCGTGGAACTCGTGCGGTCCGGTCTCTGTGTGAAGGCCGCCTCGCGCAGGCAGCCTCAGGAGACATGCTCTGCACTGTCTCCTGGCTGATGACTACACGAGATCCGGTGGCCAGCCTGCCGGGGCGAGGCGCCCGGGTGGCGGCGAAAACGCAAACGAGAAAGCACAGGAGGCGCGTGCATCTGAGCGGGGGGGCCCGCAGGCCCTCCCCCACCGAAGCCGCCTGCGGCAGGCTCGAGGCGTGCTGGCGGGCCGCCCTCTAGCTCTTCGCCGCGTTGGCGATCTTCATGTCCATCACCTCCCTCCGAAGGTTCTCGAGCTCCATCGACTGCTTGTCCATCTGGCGCTCGTCCTGGCGCTGCTGCTGCTCGAGCTGGCGGTCGGTGCTGCTCGGGCCGCCGCTCCCTCCCCCCAGAATGGCGTTGCTGATCATGTTGCCCGCGACGTTGCCGACGACGTTGCCCACGATCATCTCGCCCATGGAGGGGCCTGCAATGATGGGCGCGGCCCCCATGACTGGCGCCGGCTGCTGGACGATCACCGTCTTGTTCACCACCACGGTCTTGTTGACGGTGGTGCTGGACGACGGGGGCGCGGGCGCGGCCTTGGGCGGCGCGGGCCTGGCCGGCGGGGCCGCGCGGGCGGGCATCGAGCTGCCCATGCGGCCCCCGCTCTTGGCCGCCTGGGCCTCCGCGACCGGCACGAGCGCCACGAGGAGGGCCGCCACCACGGACAGCACGGCGCTGCCGACCTTGTAGAAGGCCGGCGCATCCTGGCCCTCGGTCAGCGGCTGGGGGGCGGCGGAGCCGCGGAGCGCGGCCCCGCCGGCGCCCGCGGCCGCGCCCGCCGCGCGCGGGGCGGACGGGCCCACGAAGGCCGGGGCGACAAGCGCGAGGACCGCGGCGGCGGCCAGGACGGCCGCGAGGGCGGTGGAGCGCTGGGCGGCCATTGCGTCCGAGGCGCTTCTTGGGCTCCCGTGGCGCGGCGACTGGGACTTCGCTCCAGCAGCGTTGGGCTAGAGCCAAAACGGCTACGGACCCCTCTTGAGAAGCTCTGGGGCGCGCCTCAGACGCTCGTCGGAAGCGAACTGGCGAGATCTTCGAACACGTTGAGTGCCCCTTGGGTTTTCCACGGTTTTTGGCCTCGTGAGGATCTCTGGGAAGCCGCTTGGGAGCCTCTTAAGGGCCTTCGGGGCTGTCTCAGAAGCGTCTGGGGGACCTCTTGGGTAACCATCTTGGGGCCACCTGGACCGTCTGGCGGTGTCAAGAGCCGTCTAGACACTCTCTCTCTATATATATATATATGTATACCCGTATGTAAATACACATATCGACACACACACACACATACATGTGCTTACACATATATGCCTATGTGTTTATATGTATGTATGTATGTATGTATGTATGTATGTATGTATGCATGCATGCATGTATGTATGTATGTATGTATGCATGTATGTATGTACGTATGTATACACATATACGCATATGCATACACACATGTATATAAAGAGATGTATGTAAACACCTGACACTGTTGAAAAGAGATGGACCACACACATAAGCCGCAAAACGGTTCGGCTCTGCACACCCGCACCGCAAGCAGAGATGCGGCGCCGCACTCACGACAACGGAGAATACCACGGCCCTCAGCCGGCCAGGGATGCTAAAGCCCTTGAGGTGCAGCGTGCCCTCAACCTTCTCCGTGGCGCCTAAGTCCCACGTGTCTGTTTGGAGCGCCTGTGCGGATACCAGCAATCACCACGCACGTGCATTGTTCTTGGTCTTCGTGCACTCCGACTGCGTACTTCTGTAGTCAATTTGAAAAACGGCTTGCGCCACGCAACAAGCCGTGACAATTATCCTCTTGCACTCAGTCGGCGGAACGCTCATAACTTTGCAATATGACCCTGAGGATGGTCGTAGAACTGCTTTAGTCGCGCACCCTTGTAAAACGAGTCACCTCTCCACTCAGCCCTCCCACTGGCCCAACGCACACCTGTGAAAACATCTGTACGCCGAAGAACAGAAAACGTTGATTTGTCGTTGGTTTATGAATCCGTATAACCATGAATGCAAATCTACATATACAACAGGCTGCATGGGCTAGGTGCCCGCGGACGCTTAGGCCATGGTTTAACCCCGACACCGGCGATGCCTGGTCCTGACGCACGCTTCTGAGACCTGCTGTGGGTGGGCCTCGGGGCAGTGGCAGAAAAACTCGAAGTGGCCTCGGTCACGGTGGCCGCAGAACCTCCTGGGTCTTGCCGCCATGCAGCACAGCCTGCGCTGGCACGGGCGCAAGATGGTGCACAACACGCCTGTAGCGGCCGGCTCAGCGCTCGGCTGGCCAGACGGCTGCGGCGGGGGAGCCATGGGCGCTGGCGTCGAGGGCGGATCCACGGGCTACCTGCCTGCCCACCGCCGTCCCCGCTGCCGCCCGCTTGGCCGCCGCCGCCGCCGCCTGCGTCCGCCGCTGGCCCGCCGCTGCCCGCCAACCCCAGGCCGCGGCGGCCGTCGCCAGCCGCCTGCTTGCCCGGGGGAAGGCCGCCCTTGTCCCACTGGCCCTCCTGGGTCCACGGCACGTCGCCAGTGACTAGGACGACGCCGCCGGCACGCTGCCAGCGACGCCGAGGACTCAGGCGCGCACGCAGGATTACGCGCGACCTTGCGCGGGGAGCTTCCGCGCCAATGTCGGCGCAGTTGTTTGGCGGCGCGCACAAGGGGGTAGGGGGAGGGGGGGGAGGCTCCTTAGAAGCAAACCGCTTCTTAGAAGGCGGCGGCCTTGCATCTACAGACAAGGCCCGCGCCTTCTGAGAGGGGTGCTTCTAAGAAGGCTTCCCCCCTCCCCCTGCCACCTCTGCGCGCTGCTGAGTTGGACCAGTTTTTCTCGTCGCCCAGATGTTGCTATGCTTAGGTCGGACGTGTCCTCCTACAGGCGGATTGTGGACGAAAAACAAAAAATGTCGAAAAATGCTCCCAAATAGCCTGCTATATTTCTGGCTTCTCGATCCCGGGGGAGTCGAGGCTTCTGGATGTGATTGGTAATCATTGGGCCTCCTGGGCCAAAAGTAGGAGGGAAAGAGACAGAGGGGAGAGGAGAGGAGAGTTGAAGGGGTCATTCATAGCCAGAGGGTAAGAAAGGAGCAGAGGTGAGACGAAGGGACAAGTCATAGCCAGAGGGTGAGAAAGAGAAAGAGAAAGAGCAAGAGAAAGAGTGAGAGGAGAAACACGGGAACGGAGAGAGGGAGAGAGGCAGTGTCGGAGGGAGCGGATGGGGAGAGGGTAGATGGAGAGAGATAGAGAGAGAGAGAGAGAGATAGAGCGGAAACAGGCGACGGGACAAAAAAGAACGAGAAGAGATCAAGGGTGGACGGGAGGGGCGCCAGCCGTGGTCGTCGTGGTCATCGTCGTTGTCGTGGTGGTCGTCGTTGTCGTAGTCGTCAGGAGAGGCGGGGCAAGGATTACAGGAGATGGGGCGCACGGCCGCTGGGAGCAGGCGGACGAGACGGCCGGAAAGCGGGCAGCGGGGAGGCGGCGTGCCACGAGTCTGCGATCAGCACCACCCGGGCGCCCTGGAGACAATGTTTGAGCACACCTCCCCATCCTCCTCCTCCACCTCCTCCTCCTCCTCCTCCTCCTCTTAGTCCGTTCCCCCCTCCTCCTCCTCCTCTTCCTCCTCCTCCTCCTCTTCCTCCTCCTCCTCTTTTTCCTCCTCCTCCTCCTCCTCCTCCTCCTCCTCCTCCTCCTACTGGACATGTGTGACTATAGATTCCCATCGGTCGGAAGAAGCAGGCAGAAGCATGCAGTGGGAGGGCGTTGAAAAAAGATTGGGTTCCGCCCGCCCTCTAAGGAGGACGGAACAGGTGAAGCCACTCGACCGTTGAAGTAGGAAGGCGCTTACAGTGGGGGCCCGAAACCCAACCCCGAGACACCAGGACGTCCATCGATTCTTCGTGTGGGAGCGTCACGCTTTCCATGGTAAAACCATCGAGACCAGAGAAACCCAGGGCACCCTGGAGGCAAGCAGGGTGTTTCTTCGCATGGGCCCCCACTGTAAAGTAGCTTGGAATCTGGTACTCCAAAAATCCCTAACTTCAGCGACAAATGTATAAATAGTTGAAACTCATATATAAATTTATATATATAGCTAAAAAAGTAGATGCATACCTCTATATATATATATATAAATATATATATTCGTATTCGCATATATACACATACAAATATCTAGTATATATAGTATATATATGTATATATACAGATGGTTTCCTTGTACTAGAATAGTTTTATACATATATATATACTAAATATATGAATATTAGTTCTTCGAACATTACTAGGGAGAAAGAAACAACAAGAAAAAAAACAAAACACGGAAAACACAACAAACAAACAACAACAACAACAAAACGGTTCTCGACGTCGGCGCTTTTCGCAAGGGCGAGAGCAGGGAACAAAGGGAGCTGGGGGCCCCATCGGGGGCCCTGAGCCTGGCCGAACATTCGGAGCGTTCCCCCGCAAGACGCCGACCGCAGCATCCCCCATCTGATTTCCAGCGGCCGCATTTCCGGCCACCGCTTCTTTAGAAGTATGTCGCACAAATGTTATATCTGATATGATTACGACAATATAGATATGTATATATATACACAAAGTATACATATAAAAAGTGTGTGAATGTATACATATCAACTATACCCACAACTCCTCGCGCGTTGCGACCAAATCGCGACGGAAAGTTTTGGCCCATTTCCAGGCTCCGGTTAGAGATACGCACACAGATCGAATCTATCCCCACGACTCTTCGCGCATTGCGACCACATCGCGACGGAAGGACTTGGCCCACTTCCGGGTTCCAGGGGCCCTTGCTGGGCCCCAGGGCCGTCAAGAAACGGTTCAGGATGCGAAACTGGTCCCAGGGCAAAGGGTCGAGACCTCCAGGGTGCCACGTTGTGGCAGAAACCACGGCGGTCTGGGTCCCGTGGCATCACCGCTTGCGGGACAGCCTGCCTCTTGCCCAGCGAAGTTACGGCCCCGCGGCACCACAGGATTGGGAAACGGGCATGCTCTGCTCAGTGACCCGTCTGCCCAACACCATCGCAAATTTGGGAAACGGCCTGCCATGGCTCGGCGATGCTTCCGTTCGGGGGCGACACGGGCGATGTGCCCAGGACAGAGAAACACGTGCATCCAGGGGCGCCGATGGTCCATGCCTTCGGCGAGGCTCCCGGGCGACTACGCGTAATGCCCGCCCCTGCGCTGTTCGCCCCAATCGTCGCCTCCGATCTGCCTGCCCGTGCCACGGCTCGGCTCACGGCCCGCCTAAGCCCGACCTGGTGCGCATGTCTCAGGCGCACGCCACCGGGTGAGGAGCGGCCACTGCCGCACGCGTCTGCGACGGACGGGTCTCGAGGCAGTTCGGGCCCGGGCGCGGGTCACCGACAGCGGAGCTCGGGCCCGTGAGCTCGAAGCCAGTAAACCCAAACGAGAGAGAGAGAGAGAGAGAAACAGACAGATGGAGGGGCAGGATGGAGAAGGCGAAACCAATACTACAAATACTGGGTCGCCCGACCTCGCGCATCGCACTGCGCTGAAGAGCTTGTAATATCCGCGTTCTCGCGCGGGCACTTTTGGGCAACCCTGCCACGTATGAGCTCTGCCTTTACGAGTCCGACCTTTCTTTTTATACATATATATGTATGATGTTCAAAATTCGAAGGATGTGTGCAGCCAGGTGGACCCCCGCAGGGATGTTGACACCCCAGCGTCGAGTGGACACGCAGGGGAACGGTTCGCAAGTGGTCGCAGGTTCTGCCCTGGGCCACGAAGGGCCAAGTGCGAGTGCTTCCGCACCCCATGCAGGCGATCTACAACTGCAATCGATGGTTGATTCCAGATTTACACCAGGAGCTCGACCACAAGAAAGTTTTTACAATACACGCAACCCTGAGACCCCAGAACGTCCATTTGTTTTTGGTGTGGGAACGTCACGCTGTCCATGGCAAACCCATCGAAACCCAACAGATC